AAAAGACAAACTGGGTTGTTTCCTTGGCTTTCTAAGGGAAAGATAAATCACAGTACCAGGTTCTAATCTCAGGAGAACAATGAACAGGTAAAAGGTGTTTGGTTTGTTTTGGCAGTGGTCCTCAACCTTTTTGGGGCTGTGGACCGGTTGGGGGGAACGTCATCCATGGGGGGGAACCCCCGCGCAAGCGCAGTGGGCGTGTTATGCCCGGGGCACGTATTGCACCTGCGGGGGGGGCGTGTCGCACTCATGCACATGCGCAACATGCCCCCCCGCGTGAGCATGTCTCGCCTACCATGCATGTGAGGGAGAGTGGAGATCCGCACCCGCTTCCTGGTTCTGCCAAGCCCACAGACCAGCACTGGGCTGCGGACTGGATTTGTCAACCCCTGTGTTTTGGTGCACTTCCGCTTATCAGAAAAGACGACAGTTCATATTTTAGCCTATTGGTAAATGAAATGCTATTGACTTTCTTTATGTTGCCAAACAAGAGGTCTGTCTTACTCAACACTATCAAATCTAGATAGAATTGCTTTCCAAGGCTTTACACTGGGATCTTCCTTTGATCGGATAAATTTCTAATGTTTGTCAACAAAAACTGGCTTCTGTAAAATTGCTCTTAAATACTGTTTTAGACATGGGGGCCATGTTTAGGACATACATGTTGGTACCCACATCTTAATGGCTTACTATAATTTTACATGTTTATATCTTGAATTTATGTTTTCTCGCTTGTAGATATTTGCTTTTTAAAAGTCCAGTGTCATAGTGTGGCCAACCACTTGTACGGTGGTGGAAAATAAAGGTCTATGTCAGCCCTATTGCTTAAGGTGTAACCATAGAGGATCATCATCTGTGGTGGCAACAAGAGCACCAAGGTGGAAGTACTGTGTACAAAGCATTGTGCAATTGGTCATGACAGGAACTGTGTGACTGATTGCACAATCAAATTACACAATCTGTGTTGCCTGGGCATAATGTCTGGCAAAGTTATGTCTGTGTAACCTTCCAGTATGCAGCATTACACCATTGAGTCTTTTTCTGGTCACTGAAGAAAAGAAGGAGACACACGAGTCCAAGGCTCTTTGAAATCCTGAACTGTCGTTTACCATCACTTCCTGTGACCTTCTTGGCTTTAGGGAAAATTAGAAATGTACATGATTTGAGGAAGTGTTGGATTTTGAAATCAGTATGAAAACTACAACAGATCATTTTTATAGTAATCTAAGGAAAGTTTCTCTGAAAACTTGTCCTGTTTTTTTAATGATACACAACAAAGGTAAGTACTGTACTAACAAAATAATTTATGCCTCTTTATTTTTTTTATTCCTCTTTTCTATTTTTATATTAAAGCATTTCTTAATTATTGCAAATTTGTACCTTATTTTTAAAAGGCAGCAGTATGAACAACTGGCTTTTGACACATCGGATGTTTTTGGTGGATACTTTAAGTGGGTGAGAAAATGACTTAGGAAGCCAACCAAGAGGACAGTGGTACCTCACAAGACGAATGCTTCAGGCAACGAAAAACTCACAAGATGAAAGCGTCTTGCAAGTTTTGTTGAGCCCCGCAAGACGAAGGTATTTTCATCTTGTGAGGTACATTTTCCCATAGGAATGTATTGAAATTTAATTAATGCATTCCCATGGGCAAAAAACTCTGAAAAAGCACCATCGGAGCCAAGCCTACAAATGGAAAAAGGCAGGGGGAAAGGGAGGGAAGTTCAAAAATGGTGTTGAGGAAGGCTTGCTAGCACCATTGAAAGACTGCCGGGGGACCTCTGAAAGCAGTGATCACGGTTGCAGGGGACTCCCGCAAGTCCTCCAGTGGTTCTTCCCCAGCTCCCTACCTGGTGACTCTTTCAGAGTTTTTTGCCCATAGGAACACATTAATTAAATTTCAATGGATTCCTATGGGAAAATTCGCCTCACAAGATGAAAATTTCGCAAGATGACAGGTCTCGCAGAACGAATTATTCTCGTCTTGCGAGGCACCATTCTAACACGAGTTGCTAGTGACATAGGTATAAGGTGAGTTCAAATGATTGGACAACTGTTGTTTAGTTGTGCCTGACTTTTCATGATTCCATGGACCAGAGCACGCAAGGCCCTCCTGTCTTCCACTGCCCCCTGGAGTTTGGTTATATTCATGTTGGTTGCTTTAATGACACTGTCCAACCACCTTGTCCTCTGTTGTCCCCTTCTCCTCTTGCCTTCACACTTTCCCAACATCAGGCCTTTCATGAGGCCTTACAAATAACAGAGAAGAGAAGGGAAACAAAATGCAAGGGAGACAGGGAAAGTTACAGAATATGGAATGCTGACTTCAAAAGAATAGCAAGGAGAGACAAGAGGACCTTCTTAAATGAATAGTGCAAAGAAATAAAGGAAAAGAATAGAAAGGGGAAAAAACAGAGTTCTGTTAAGTGGTCTTATAGACCAGATGGGCAGGGTACAAAACAAACAAAAAATAAATAAATAAAAGAAAATAGGAGATATTAAAGGAACATTTTGTGCAAAGATGGACATGATAAAAGACAAAAATGGTAGGGACCTCACAGAAGCAGAAGACATCAAGAAGAGGTAGCATGAATACAGAGAAGAATTATACCAGAAAGATTTGGATATCCCGGACAACCGAGATAGTGTGTTTGCTGACCATGAGCCAGACATCCTGGAGAATGAAGTCAAGTGGGCCTTAGAAAGCATGGCTAACAACAAGGCCAGTGGAGGTGATGGCATTCTAGTTGAACTATTTAAAACCTTAAAAGATGACACTGTTAAGGCGCTACATTCAATATGCCAGCAAGTTTGGAAAACTCAACAGTGGCCAGAGGCCTGGAAAAGATCAGTCTACATCCCAATCCCAAAGAAGGGCAGTGCCAAAAAATGCTCTGACTACCGTACATTTGCACTCATTTCACATGCTACTAAGATTATGGTCAAAATCCATCATGGTAGGTTTCAGCAGTATGTGGACCAAGAATTCCCAGAAGTACAAGCTGGATTTCGAAGGGGCAGAGGAACTAGAAACCAAATTGCCAACATGCACTGGATTATGGAGAAAGCCAGAGTTCCAGAAAAACATCTACTTATGCTTCATTGACTACCGAAAAGCTTCAACTGTGTGGACCACAGCAAACTATGGAGAGTTCTTAAAGAAATGGGAGTGCCTGACCACCTTATCCATCTCCGGAGAAACCTATATGTGGGACAGGAAGCAACAGTTAGAACTGGACATGGAACAACTGATTGGTTCAAAATTGGGAAAGGAGTACGACAAGGCTGTATATTGTCTCCCTGCTTCTTCAACTTATATACAGAACACATCATGCGAAAGGCCGGACTGGATAAATCCCAAGCCGGAATTAAGATTGCTGGAAGAAATATCAACAACCTCAAATATGCAGATGATACGACTCTGATGGCGGAAAGTGAGGAGGAATTAAAGAACCTCTTAATGAGGGTGAAAGAGGAGAGAGCCAAAAATGGTCATTGAATTCACAGAGTACTCCTCACAGGACAAAATAAATAAATATTTTAAAAATTCTTTTATGTTATCTTCCAGAAGCACCAACATTTTCCACTTTTGTAGGGTATAAGCTGTACACTGCAACAGCATGTGTGACCTGAATTTCCATAATATTAATACAGTGGTGCCTCGCACAGCGGGTGCCTCACACAACGATGAATTCACACAACGATGCCTTTTTCTGTTAAATTTGCCGCCTCACACAAAGATGTTTCCTATGGGGAATTTTCACACAACGATGCCTCTTTTTCGCACCTGTAAAAGTGTCTTACAATGTTTGGAACCTGTTTTAAATGCTTGCAGTGGTTAGCCCACCTCCTGAAACCTATGCAAACTTATTTTGGTGTGGTTCTGACACTTTGTTAATTTGTGGTGATTATTTGTCTTTCCCCTCATTAAGGAGGGTTAAGGAGGTGGGCTAACCATTGCAAGCATTTAAAACAGGCTTCAAACAGTTTAAGGCACTTTTAAATGAGTGAAAAGAGACATCGGAAAGAGCTTTAAAAGGGAAACGGAGATCAAAGAGCTCTTTCCGATGCCCATTTTCGCTCCTGTAAAAGGACTTCGCAAAGCCACTGAAATGCGTTAAGTCGGCTTAAATGCATTTCAATTGGGGAACCGGGTTTCACTCAACGATGTTTCCTATGGGGATTTTCCCTCAAGGAAACGGATTAACCGGTTTTCAATGCATTCCTATGGGAAACGGTGTTTCACAGAACGATGTTTCACACAACGTTGATTTTTTTTGGAACCAACTAACATCTTTGTGCGAGGCACCACTGTATACAGTACAGTGGTGACTCGACATACAGACATCCCCACTTATGAAAATTTTGAGGTACGGAAAGCTCCAGCCGCAAAATTTTGCTTCTACTTGCGGCCAGAGCTTCCACTTACGAAAGGGAAAAGGCAGGGGTAAAGGGCAGGAAATTTAAATTTACAGTACTAACTGTTGGTGGCAAAGAGGCTGCTTCTTTGTAGCTCTTTCACCCCAATGGTTAGGGAAAGGATCTGGTGGCGGTGGCCCAGAGCTGGAAGGCTTGAGCCTCCTGGGTGCTCTGGCAGCAGCTTCAGCTGCCCGGGGTGCTTCGGCTGTTCGCCCCCGGCCACGGTCACCCAGCGCGAGCAGGCTTGAACTGGCCGGGGTGCTTCAGCTGTTCACCCCCGGGCAAGGTCACCCAGTGCCGGGAGGCTTGAGCTGGCTTGAGATTTATTTTTATTTTTGCAGGCCCAGGGGCTTCCAGTGTTTTATTTTTATTTGGGGGGGGGTGTATTTTTTCCTTCAGCTGGAACAGATTAAATGGTTTTCAATGCATTCCTATAGGAAATGGTGCTTTGCCTTACGGAAATTTCAACCTACGGCCACCGTTCCAATACAGATTAATTCCATAAATTGAGGCACCACTGTACTGCTTCTCAGTAGTGTAATTGGGCACTACTGGATACAAATCAGCCAAATATCAATTCATGTCTTTCCATTTATGTACTTTTATTGTAAAACTGAGCTGAAATTATGAAAATGTACTGAACATCATAATGGGCAAGAAGCCAAGAAAACAGACAACATATTATTACATACAACAATAATACAACTTCTAGCTCTGAAATTTAAAATTCTACTGCAACAAAAACCATATTTAGACAAACCACAAACATACACTGCAAGGTCATGCTTTCATGAATTGCCCAGGGATACAGTTCTGTCTGAAAGAACTTAAGACGTCATTCCGACTCCCTCACAATAAAAGACACTAATTTTAGAAGCAGTCATAGCTATTTACAGTGAATTTACTTTTTATATATTTTTCAAGAAATTTAATACCGTAAGCTTTGCTTCCTAAGCATTTTCTCATTTATACCAAGCTCAACCTAATTTTGCACTCGCCAATTGGCCTATCATTAAGTTCATTAACAGCAGCCACTGCCTCATCATAATTTATCAGGGCAACAAGAGCTTCACCAGAAAACATGCCATACTCATTCTGCTGCATAAAAAGAGATTCTGGTATGATCTTGTAGCCATAGAAAAAATCCAGAACTTCATCACGTGAGACTTCCGATGGTATATTCCTTAATTTAATCACTGTGACACGATCTGAGCCACTCCTGAAATCAGAGTCAGCCACAGTATGTCCATCTGGGAAAATTCCAGGAATTCTTTCACCAACATCTGTAAATGTGGGATGGACTCTAACATGATCAGGTGAACAGACTGAATCATCAGGTGGATGTCTGTGATCAGATGGATACTTTAAATCATCAGCTGAATGATTATAATACAATGGATGCTCTACATTTCCCTGCATGGATTCAACCTGAGAATGAAGTTTACCTTTTTTATTTGTGTAGGGATGATCCTGCATCTTTTTATTTAATACTGATGGAACATTGATACCAAACTCTCGCATTTGTTCCTCAGATATGCTTCTCAGGAGTACTTCCGTTCCCAAAAAATGCTTACGATTTAAACTTTCAGCTTTCCGTGCTTCATCTTCAGATCTAAATTTGACTAACGCTTCTCCCAGTCCAGCTCCTTTGTCATCATACAGCAAACGAATATCCCTGTCGTCAATATTAAATCCTGCAAAAAACTTCTGCACTTCAACATTTGTCACATCAAATGGAAAATTTCTTACATATAAACATGTATATGAGCCAGAATGTTGATCTTGATCGTTTTTTCCCCTCCTATGGTAATGTCCCTCTGGTGATCTTGTAGTTTCTGAAGATCCAATTAACTGAAATGCTTCTGTTTTGGAAATGGGGAAAAGGTGAACCTTTTGAGGGTAAAGATGCCACTTGTGATATTTGAGTGCACCCTCATATATTCTGAGTGATTTGAAAGTCACAATTGCATCCCTGCTTCTATGGCTACGTGGCTTTAAGAATACAATCTGATCATCAGAAATATCCAACTCTCCAAAGAATAATCTCAATTCATCCTTATCACCAAGAGGTGACAGATTTTGTACATGTACATAGTACTCCCTGTTATGAGATGAAAGAGAATGGGTTGAGCCAGAAAATGGTGAATGAGAACGTGTAGTAACTCTCTTTGGCGAAGACCTGGAATGGGTCCGTACTGCAATCCCTCTTGGTGGAGACCTAGAATAGATCCGTGTTGTAATCTTCCTTGGTGGAGACCGTGAAAGAGTCCGTGCTGTAACCCTCCTTGATGGAGACCTTGAATGGCTCTGTGCTGTAATCCTCCTTGGTGAAGACCGTGAATGAGTCCGTGCTGTAACCCTCCTTGATGGAGACCTTGAATAGCTCCGTGCTGTAATCCTCCTTGGTGAAGACCGTGAATGAGTCTGTGCTGTAACCATCCTTGATGGAGACCTTGAATGGCTCCGTGCTGTAATCCTCCTTGGTGAAGACCGTGAATGAGTCCGTGCAGTATTCCTTCTTGATGGAGATCTTGAATGGGTATGTGTCATAATCCTCCCTGATGGAGAACAAGACCTTGAACGAGTGCATGCCATAATTCTCCGTGGAGGAGACCTGGAGTGACTACATGCCATAACCCTCCTTGCAGGAGATTTTGAATGGGTGTATCTTCCTGAGGACTCTCTCCTGGGCTGCTTATAGTTTGCTTGCGCGATCTCCCTACTGCTGTTTCGGGAACCGCTGGAATGGAATTCACGCTGTGAGAAATCCACAGAACTATAGCTAGATTTGTCCACTCCTTTCTTAAGGGCTGCAACTGCATTTGAAAGGCTGCCAACTCCAGAGGCCCCAGGGTTATTAGAACCTGTCCGCCTAGAGCCAGTTACTGTTTCTTTTCCACCACGATCAAATATTTTCCTATTAATTTCTATTATATGCTGCATTTCTGTCTTGCTGCTGAGAAACAATTCGATACGTGAACCCCTGATAGATATTCCTGAATAGCTCATTGCTCGCCGTGCATCTTCATCTGTTGCAAATATGATAAAAGCTTCCCCCTTTTCTCTTCCAATAATATGTACACCACCATCAGGGATATTCAATCCTGAGAAGAAATGGCGAATATCCACAGGGCCTGCAACAACAGGAAGCCCCTGTAAACGGATGACTACAGCCATTCTGAATTCAACCCACAGCAAGCCACCTGTGGACAAAACACACAACAGCAAGCCTTTAAGACACTGAAAAAGTACTACACCTCACACTCTACCATTTAAAACAGAAATGTCCACCTTCAACCTAGTATACAAAATCAAAGAATAACTCAACTGAAACCACAAGAAGCCTATTTAATCATAAAGCTTGCTAACAATTATTCATCCTGAAATTCTGAGTGTTCCATCAGCATTCCAAATAATCAAAACAGTTTCAGTAATTCTAACTGGCTCTAATGAAGATAAAGAAATCTTTCACTGCACATATACAGGCCATCACAACTTTTATGAGGATATTAAACCAGAGATTATCTCTAGTCAGTTGTCTCTGCCAAACACTTCACTTCTTAACAACCAACGTTAAGCCATCCAGTCCCTATGATGTATCATTTCCTCATGATCTGGACATCCAATCTGTACTTCCTCTCCTGCCACAAGTCTTTCAGAAAGAAATCATCTCAGACAACAGAAGCATTAATGTTTTAGAAGCTTACCTGTTTCTTCCTCAAAGGCCTGATTAAAGTCTGTGAAATCAACTTAACTGTGGAAAGAAAAACATGATTAATGGCCAATAAGTAGGCTTACATATCATGTCTCATTACTGAGGAATATCTTTGACCAATGCCAAGAGTAACCAACTAAAAAAAATTGATGGTTTTATACAAAGTTCTGGTCCCAATCCAGACTTCTACAAAACACAAACAAAAAACTTTCAAGACATAAATAATGAATTTCAACAAAACAGCATCTTGGCATATCCATTTTGAGAGGATACTCTCCTATTAAAGCTAATTTCAGTAAGCCTTGAAAATAAGCTTGTAATCACTCCTTCAGAGATCCGCATAAAGTTTCTTCAGTGTCCAGAGTTGCTGAAAGGTGGAATCTCACACAAAAAGACAGAAGTGTCCAGGTCTGCTGAAATTCTTTTTCTTGGAAAGACAGTGATCGGATGTTCAGTGGTATGAGTGCTGTATTGTAGACATGTCATATTATTAAAAAAATAATAAATCCAAAAACCAAAAATTCCAGGAAAACATATTAATAGTCTTTCCACTTCTTCCACAAATCTGCCATCACACTACCAATCTACAAAAATTCCTCATAATCTTTCTACTCCATACGCTAGAACACAAACTGTAAAAGCATCACACAATGTACTGTCACATAAAATCTACACAAGATATTTATCAGAACACTCTTGTAACAAGTTCTAAAAAAACAAAGAGGCCATAATGGAAAATAGTGCAGCCCAATCCTCTGCAAGTAAGATCTACTAAGTTCATCAGAACTTACTCTCAAATAAGTACATACAAGATTACAGTGCTAACGTTAAAATAAATGATTCTTTTATATTATATAGAGAAATGCATTTGACACATAGTGTTTCATGAGAATACTGCAACTGCAATACACAGATTGCAAATTTCAAATCATTTTAATTTATTTGGACACTGCACTATATATAGCGCTGAGATAAAATATATACAGTACGTATGTTTAAAACCTATCTCAGTGGACTCAATATTAGCCAAGATTTGTTAGGCCATTATCTAATGTAAAACACTACAATCAGTGTGTTATATCTGCTATATTTCCCAGCTGTGTTTTCTTCCTAACTAACCAAAACCCATTTTACAAATTTCAAAAAAAGTCAGAGATGTTTAACTCATTACCATGTTGTCCCTGCTATGTTACGTATAGGTAAACCTAAAGGTTCCCCTTGACAATTGCCCAGTCGTGTCTGAATCTAGGGGCCAGTGCTCATCCCTGTTTCTAGGCCATAGAGCCAGCATTTGTCCGTAGACAGTTTCCATGGTCACGTGGCCAGTGCAACTAGACACAGAATGATGTTACCTTCCTACTGCGGTGGTACCTATTTATCTACTTACATTTTCATTCTTTTGAACTGCTAAGTTGGGAGGAGCTGGGACAGGCAAAGGGAGCTCACTCCGTTGCGTGGATTCAAACTGCTGGTCTGACGACCTTGCAGCCCAGAGGCTTTGCAGCTAACCCGCAATGCCACTACGTTCCCCCATGTTACCTATCGCTTGGCGCAATTTAGCCAACACTTATTGCCCACTGTTTATAGTATAAGGAAAGGAAAAGAATATTTAAGAGAGGTCTTAAAAGGTGTGAAATTACACACAGTACACAACCAGTAAGCAAAGTTGTGTGTCAAAAACTTGTGACAGTAAATGCCAGGATATTCTGAATTCCTCTTTAGAATTTTTTTACTTATTCCAAATATTCCTGGGCAAATCAGTTTCCAGAAATACCACAGACAAAAATACAGCAAAGAAAACTGATACTATTTATTGTAAGTATTTCTTTCTACATTTCAGTTCTTTACATTCTAATTTTTTATGCACTTACTTGGGAATAGGACCCACTGAAATCACTAGAGCTTACTTTTGAGCAGGTATGCATAGGATTGGATAGTTAAAATCTGAAACAGCTCTTGAAAAAACAAATAAAATGGTCATGGCAAAAAACCAATAGGTTATGAGCAAAATCCTGTTTGTGCAAGTACAAGATTCCTGCATAAGCATGACAGGAATTATGCAATTCAATTTCATCACCAACTCCACAATACACTACCGATAGTGTTCCTGGGTTAGCACTCCCACCTCAGGACTATCATCGCTACCACTGACAAACTCACAACCATCCTTTAATGAAACAAAATATTAAAGTTATTGTACTGAATTTTCTGAAAATGAAAGGGAACCAAAAAGTACTACAGTGAGTGAGGGAAACTGAAGATACTAGTTATATCTTATCAAAAGAAAGGTAACCTGTTGATATAAAATGTAACAGATGTGGGCCTCTTCAGGTATACCTCCGTAAAAAATAGTATTCTTTCAGGAGTAGGTTTTTGTTGTTCTTAGTATAAGAATATGCAATATACACTACGGGAAAACAGCATAGACTGCCATCTAGAATGTACAGCATGATAGAACTCAAAGATATCCAGGCATAATGATTTCAGAAACTGTAGTTTTTGTATTTTACCAAATTTTTTGCTTCTTGATCAGTCGAAAGTAGAATACAAACAAAGTGTGATAGATTGCCTTTGCCCACAGACTCACATCCATCCTTTAATGAAACAGAATATTAAAGTTATTGTACTGAATTTTCTCAAAATGAAATGGAACCAAAAAGTACTACAGTGAGTGAGTGAAACTGAAGATACTAGCTACACCTTATCAAAAGAAAGGTAACCTGTTGATACAAAATGTAACACCTGTGGGCCTCTTCAGGTATACCTCCGTAAAAAATGGTAACCTTTCAGGAGTAGTTCTTTTTTGTTGTTCTTAGTATAACAATGTGTTGTTCTCTTTACACTACTGCTAATGCCCTGCTTGAAGGATTTCCACATAAAGCTTTAAACCAAGCATGCGAAATCAGTTAATGTAATCTAGGTACTCTTGTCCACAAGACCCATATCACTGCTCCGAGAATACGTGGGGAAAGCAGCAACCTAAATATATTTGCAGAACAGATTCTGTGACCCCGAGGACGTCCCTGAACGGCTTCGGAAGTTGACAAAGCAGAGTTATTTCTTCTCCACCGCAGCTCGAAAGGAATACCGCCGCGCAAAAGAGAACACCGTTAACAACGCTGCAACTTCTTACGAACCAAGCTTCCACACCAGAATAAGCAAGATATCAGCGCGACCACAGTAGCCATCTGGATGGCATTATCACTTCTCCCTAAACTAAAAGCTCTTACATTAGAAACACGGAATAACGGAGTTGGAAGGGCCGCTAAGGCCATCGAGTCCAACCTCGTGCTCAGCGTAGGAATCCCAATCAAAGCAGATCTGACAAGACGGTTGTCCAATTAAATTAAAACCCAGCAGGAATCATCTCGGCCCATATCTCTCTACGCGCGAGCGGGAGCAGCAGAAGGTGCGGGACGAAAAGCGTCGCGCCTGGAAAAGCTCAGAGGCTTCCTGCCGAAGCCACAGACACACACACACACACACAAAAGCCCCAAGGACAACACTGCCACGGCCCGGTCACATCCCGCTTGTACTAACCAGGTCCGGGCCGGTCCAGAGACCCACCGAGGGCACCCCGGCCCTGCGACTCTCCTCAGGGAAAGAAAGGAACCCAAACCCGGTTACTTTCAAGTTCCTCAGGCCGCATACTTCGGCCCTTTCCCGGGCTTCTTCCCTCCCGGCCCCCTTCGTCCTCCGCTCCCCGGGGCTGCTGACGTGTCTCGCTCGCCCACAGGGCCACCGAAAAACGGACCGCCGCTCCCCTCCGCCAAAGTCACCGGTAGGAGAAACAAAGCGCCGGCCACAGTCTCCCCCCGCCGCCGCCGCCGCCTCAAGAGAGGGCGAACGGTTACCCCCCTCCCCGCGCCCGCCCGGCTGCTCGCAGAAAAAAAACCCACTTCCGCCGACGGTACCAAACACGCATGCCTGAACGGCACCGGAAACTCAGGCCTTCCCCATTCACGTCGGAGTTTAACGACTTCTTCCGGTACCAATGACTTACCCTGAAAACAGCGTTTCAACAAGAAAAACAAAACAAAAAGGGGGAAAAAAGATGTTGGGGCACCTTTAAAGTTAACTGCTATATAAGTTTTTTAAATTTTTATTTGCCATACAGAGAGAGAGAGCTGAGTCTCCTTTGAAAGAGTGAGGTTTGTACCTGGGTCTTGCCCAAACAAAAACAGCTTTTTTCTCCTAGCGTTAGGACTGGAGTGTCAACAGTCGGTTTTCTACACTGTCCTTTCTCAAGTGCTAAAATGCTAACATAAACGTGCATATATTTCACCTTCTCCTGAGGTCATCTAGCAGCAAACCTTGGCACAGTCCTTGCTTTCCAAATAAGTTTCTGGTATGGTTCGAACGAAATATTTAGTGATTTCTGGTGAAAGCGCAAGAAGAAAGTGTCAAAGCAGGACTGAAAGTGAACACTGAAAAGAAAAAAATCATGGCTACAAAATTACACAACTTTGATGCTGAGAATTTTATTTATTTATAATATTTCTTACTTGCTTTTCTCCTAAGAAAAAATCGAAGGCAGCTTTCATAATTAAAAAACGTGATATGTATTAGTTACGACAGCAATCCTATACATTTAGTACATTATTATCTGGGGTGGGCCTTTGATGTGCATAGAATGTGGATGCTCACCAGTTGTACTCCATTTTACAATCCTCCCTTATCTGCCCCGGATAGGTATTACATGGTACTTCTATATACGCGTCAGTTTTAACAGCTGCTATCGACTTCAATCATCAGTGGGCAGAATACAGTGAACATTCTACATGCTCTTAATCACATCTCTCTCTTAATCATGCTAATTTTTTTGTTTATTTTGCTGCAACAAACTCTTTCGCTTAGCGGTTTACTATCTGAGAGGGGTTTTAAACCGAGTGCTATGCCTAGAATTGTGACGGCAAGAGGAGAAGGGAGGACAGAGGACGAGATGGTTACGCAATGTCATCGAAGATACCAACAGCAATTTGACACGATTCCGGGAGGCAGTGGAAGACAGGAGGGCCTGGCGTGCTCTGGTCCATGGGGTCATGAAGAGTCGGACACGGCTTAACGACTAACATGTCCTGAATCCATTTTCGATTTTGCTTTACCTTTTTTTAGTGTAGTACTTGTGTGATTCTTTTAAAATATTTGTATACTTACTGTTTTTAATTTTTCAGTATTGGCTTTTAAAGGCCACCTTGCCCTCGTTTTAAACAGAAAGCCAATATAAAAATATTTAAAGTAAATAAATAAGATTACGTTTCTAGATATCCATTTCTGCCCCATGCAACCAACAATAACCTTTTAATACCCTATGTTTCTGTTTATATCTGGCAAAAGCAGCTTACAATCCAAAAATGAAAAAAAAAAACGTGTTGCCCATAGTCGACAGCTACCAGGCTGGATAATATCTTCACTGGGGCACAAAAATGTCAAATACTGTACTTAACAATAATATTCTAATCTAAAGGAAGCCATGGCCTTGGGCAGTCAAGAGCCAAACAGAGGATATTGTCACACAGTGATAATACCGCCATAACGCAGATGCCTTGACAGCAGAGGCGAGCAGCCGTTCAATAAATGTACTATTAATCCCTCGACCTCTGTTTTATTGGACGGGAGAGTGGTTAATATTAACCCCTCTGGCTTTCCGTAGGCACGAGCCTCGGGGACCGCCCCTCCAAACCAGCGAAGGGAGCGTTCGTTGGTTACTTCGCCGCAGAATGGGGCGGGATTAAGGACTCAGTAACCATGGCGACGGGGAGGCGCTGGCTCGACATGGCGCTGCTCTTGCTTCCCCTGAGCGCCGGACTTTCGGGCACCCCGGGCTTCTTCCTCCCCTTGCGCCGGCCTCAGGGTTGCGGGGAATCGCAGTACTTCGATATCGCCAACTTGTCGTGCGGGCAGTGCGGAGCCTTCCAAAGACAAAGTACTTCGGGTGAGGCCACTGAGGCGGCCGGGACTCCGGTTGGTCCTCCTCCTGCCCGTCAGACGTCCCCTCTCGCCCGGTGCCTCTGAAGGGAACCAGCCACTGCTGCCCCGTGGGGTGGGGAGGGGACCTTTTGTGGAGACCAGGTCTCCTTCAGAGGCTTGGATACCTTCATCCGCCATCATCCTTCCCTCCCGAGTAGGACGGAGGTGGCAGAAGCACTGCTCACTCGCAGCACGGTCCGTTGTAGGAGAGGGTTGGCAGGCTGGGGCCTCTCCCTCTCCCGACGCTTCAGGACTTCAGCTTTCATGATACCGCGCCAATTGTCATTATTAATTCTTACTCTTTACTGTCGCCGTCTTCCCTACTTTAGGGGGAGGAAACCCTATGCTTTGTGGAAGTAGCTTGGAAGTCCCCATCACGCTCATTGGTATTTCTTTCTTAAACGTATATTTTAGGCGAGGTTGCGTGTGATGGGGGCCTCTCTCATTGAGCTTCGTATTGGAGGCTGGGGTTTGAACCCAGATCTCTTTCCTGCTCCTGTGTGGTGCCAAGTCGCCTTTGACTTAAGGCAACCTTGTGAAAGAATGATCTTTATCACCCAGATCTCTTCAGAGTTCATCAGTTAGCAAGGAACCGGAGAGAGGCACAAAGTCATGACCCTTCTAGGAAACTTACAGTACTTTAATACAGTATTACTAGAACAAACCTAGTTGTAGCTAAAATAACAAGCTGTTGCATAATTTCAGGTACCTCCTGCACGTGTCTGCCAGGATACAAGACAGTTTCTGATCAGGGTGGATCTTCTATCTCCTGTGAGAAATGTCCAGAAATCATGGTAACTGATTCATGTGTAATAAATCAAAACATTTTTATAAGTAAATTATAGGTGCAATATTTTTCAGTGAATGTAGTGATTTATTCTAAAAAAATTGTTTGTTTAGAGTGGAGTTACTCAAGATGGATGGCAATGCATTTCTTGCCCTAGTGACCTAACTGCTGAAGGAAAATGTAAATGCCCTGTTAATGAGATTTTAGGTAAGATTTCTGAGAAGTTACTTGCCAGTGTCTGATTTTTCCTTATATAGAATTTTATGTTGAGCATGTGCTATGGGTTGTATCCAGAGTTTTCATTCCACAAATTTCAGGAACTTCCAGACACAGAAAATGAGTTTTGCACACAGAGGTAGTCCTGCTGTTAAAATGCAGTCCTGTATCTTTGATTTGTCCATAAGAAATGCCAAGAGAAACAGGATACTGTATAGTTATTGTACCATTGGTGTTTTAGCTAAAATGAAAAATGCCATCATACAACCAATAATAGAGTAGTAATAAGAGTAAAAAAGTAGTATAAATTTAAGAGCACTTTCAGGTGCTATAAGAAGCCTGGCTTATCAGAGATGATTACTCACAGGAATAGTTAAACCATAGAGCTTCCTCTATGGTTTGCAGATTGTAATGTCTGAAACTGGTGCTCTGGCTTGTCTCCTTCATCCTTCATCAATAAGCCACCCCCCCAAAAAAAAGACAAACTGGGTTGTTTCCTTGGCTTTCTAAGGGAAAGATAAATCACAGTACCAGGTTCTAATCTCAGGAGAACAATGAACAGGTAAAAGGTGTTTGGTTTGTTTTGGCAGTGGTCCTCAACCTTTTTGGGGCTACGGACCGGTTGGGGGGAACGTGATCCATGTGGGGGGGCACCCCTGCGCAAGCGCGGTGGGCATGTTATGCCCGGGGCACGTATTGGACCTGCGGGGGGGGGCGTGTCGCACTCATGCACATGCGCAACATGCCCCCCCGCGTGAGCATGTCTCGCCTACCATGCATGTGAGGGAGAGTGGAGATCCGCACCCGTTTCCCGGTTCTGCCAATCCCACGGACCAGCACTGGGCTGCGAACTGGATTTGTCAAGCCCTGTGTTTTGGTGCACTTCCACTTATCAGAAAAGACGAAAGTTCATATTTTAGCCTATTGGTAAACGAAATGCCATTGAATTTCCTTATGTTGTCAAACAAGAGGTCTGTCTTACTCAACACTATCAAATCTAGATAGAATTGCTTTCCAAGGCTTTACACTGGGATCTTCCTTTGATCAGATAAATTTCTAATGTTTGTCAACAAAAACTGGCTTCTGTAAAATTGCTCTTAAATACTGAAGTTCTGAATACCTGCAGAGATAAAATGAAATATTGACCTGCTTTTTCTTTACATTCCTTTTTTCACCAGTGGAAAGAGACACTAATGGTGCATTGCTAAAAGCTGCATTATGTGTTCAGTGTAATGGAAAAGAGCAGTCATTTACTACTCCGAATGCATTAAATAATAGGTAAGGGGTTTTGGAGGAGTCTATATAGTTTTCAGAAAGGCGCTTGATTAATGTTTATTTACTCACATTGAAATATAGCAAACCAAAAGTAAAGATAATTGATAAAAATTTACAAAATGTTGTGATAACAGTTTCAAAATTTGCATAGCATCCATGTGTTTTAAAATGATATTATACTATTTGAGATACAGATTATTTCACAGGTATTTGAGATAATTTATTGTCACAATTGATTAAACTGGGGAAAATCATGCAAATATACGATTTCTTTCCACTATGCTTAGGCATGAAAAGCCTGCTTTGTTGAATCCTGTATTTGTCATTGTTTTAGACATGGGGGCAATGTTTAAGATGTACATGTTGGTACCCACATCTTAATGGCTTACTATAATTTTACATGTTTATATCTTGAATTTATATTTTCTCGCTTGTAGATCTTCTTTGCTTTTTAAAAGTCCAGTGTCATAGTGTGGCCAACCACTTGTACGGTGGTGGAAAATAAAGGTCTATGTCAGCCCTATTGCTTAAGGTGTAACCATAGAGGATCATCATCTATTCAGAAGTGAAATTAGTTTGAAAGATTTATTTGAATCACAGCGGACAAACAGTGGAATAGGTCTCTAAGAAGATGACACAGTACACAAGAAATAAGAATAAATAAAGCAAAGTGTCCTGCTTCTGTACCATCACATTGCACTCTCTTGGCAGTTTGCAATTTAGCTTTTTTTCAGTCTAAAAGAAACTTTTTACCTCTATGGAGTAACTTCATCATATTCATCATATTTTATTTTATCTTTTGTAGGTGTATAAGATGTGAGCCAACGTTCATCAGTGTGAACAAATCATGTACCTGTTCCGAGCCAAATATTCTAGTAAGTGCGACAAAACGCCATGTAAGAAAACAGAAAGGATCATATCCCATACAAGAGGTTTGACCATACATTAGTTCTTTCCCACATATCATATCCATGGTTCTTCCTGAGCATCACCAAAGCCTCAGAGGCCTTTCACAATGAGCTGTAGTATGGAGAGGGAGTTGGTATACACAAATGTCTGTTGGCACAACTTCTGAATTAGATCAAGAGACAACTGTGTGAGTAGAAGATCCCTGCTGGCAGAAATGGGAAGGGGGGAACAATGTTCCATGCTACAAATGATGCAGGAAGTCTCAGGGTAAAGGAGACAGTGAGGATCCCTTTACCTGTCTTTTCATGAGTTGCAACTCTTGTTTCATCTGCAGTCTTTGCATAAGTACTAAGATCATTTTCCCAATTGGTAATATTCTGGATTCAACTGTCTATCCCTCAAAGAAAGTATGCTAATACTTTCAATTTTGTATTTTCAGACAGGTGGATTATGTTTCAGGGGCACCGGAAATTTCCCTCCAAAGGGAATTGCAACTGTTCGTTTTGGAACCCTAGTAAGTCATAGTCCCTTCATTTGTATCGTGCATGTTTGCAGACATTATGCTAAAGGAAGTTTACAATGTAAAATGACCATGCACACACACAAAGTCCTCAACCACAATATGAGTGCATATTGTTATGCACATTATAAAAATAGAATTATTCTGTATTTATTATGGTGGCACTAAATGCTGAAGCCATCCATTTATCTAGTTGTCTGTTTGCACAACAATCACACATGATAATTTAATCATTTAGATCCCTTAATTGTGCTCCATCAAACAGGTAACCTTTCGCCTTACCAAATATATGTGCTTCCTCGTACAAGCCTTTAAATTCTGCATACTGCCTACTACCAGGAATTTACCCCAAAACCAGAAAAAAGTTCTAAATGCAGAGATTCAAAAGTAGCAAAAGCACTCAGAATATTTAATATATGTTTGCATGCTCATACACATTCCAATCTTCTGCTACCACAGTAATATATAAAAAAAAACTCCTTGAAGAATGGGCAACCTGTTCCACCTTAAAGTAGCACTTTCCCCAATTAGTCCACATTTTTATTAAGTGCTAGAAGAAAAAGACACATGTCCTTTTACCCTGTTGGCATCAGTGTTCTAAAAATGTGTTCTCAAAGTATCAAGTAGACTGTATCTCTTTTTTAGAAAATGTTATAAGGACACTTTGGAATCAAGGAGATAAAGGACTGATGGTTCAGCATGTAGTACTTTTAAAAGGAGTATTAAAACTCCTTCCCATTTAGAGTTCCTGCTCAGATTTGAGGCAGTGATTGAGGGAAATAGCAATGTGTAATCACAACACCGGCCCTGTTATGAAAACAAAAATCTTTCTTATGATTTATGTACCTGTCGTTATGAGTATGTTCCACAAGAAATCAATATTTTGGCTTCAGCAAACCCAGTGGAGATCATTCCTGAGGACACTTGCATAGAACTGCACAAAGACATCTGCAGTACTGATTCTCTTTTCTTTCACAGGGTATCACCTTGCTGTCAGCATGGTTTTCAAACAATTTGCAAGCATCAGCAGCTGCTTGCTGGGTAAGTTTTGGATAAGGATTTTCTGTTCACTGAAATTACAGATAAATATATTAATACGTACAAATTACTGTATAATGATAGAGTTTTAACTTTCTGTGTCAACCTACATGTTTCACAGGGAACGTGTGTCTGGAAGGGTGGTTTCAGCTTGTCAGCAAAATACGAGTTTATCAATTTTTTTCTACCTCTCCTGTGTAACTGAGTGCCTATTCCCAATTTTGTTTTAGAAAAGAAAGAAAATGTCATGGGATTCAGAATATACAGTTTTGGCCTAAACATTTTCTGAATGTTGTCTAATTTTACCACAGATCAGGGAGTAGATACATTTATTTATGTAAATCATTTCTGCCGTACCCTTAATGAAAGGTTTCCATAGAGCCTTATATGAGTCAGTAGCTGAAATTCTGTTGTGCAGATCTACCTGTGCATCAGTGATGGTGTCATCAGCAGTGGCAAATTGCCACTTGCAAACAGGAGGGACTCAGATCCACTGGATGATCCCATTGCATAAAAACAAGAAGACGGTTTTTTTCTCAGTTCATCTGTGGATTCCCCCAAAGTTGTAAAAATCTGCTGATGAAAGAAGAATTTCAAAAGATGTATCACATTCTCTTTGTTCATACAGGAAGTCAAGATTACAGCTATGGCAAAAAACTGAAGATGAATAGTGACAGAAATAGTTTTCAAAGTTTACACATTTATTTCATGGCATTGATCTACGGTCTGGCAGTAATCATCTTTTATGTGTTGCCTTGCAGTTATACTCCAACCTAACATCTTGCCAAGCACTTGGAAACATGTGTGTGATGAACATGCATAGCTGGAGCTCTACTATCACTGATGCTTGTGGTCTCTTTCAGTATGTCTTTGCAAATACCGCTGGACATGGTACTGTTCATTCAGTATCATTTTGGTATGTCACTTCTAGCGTATATCCTTTGGATTCCTGTGTTGTCTATTTTATAGAAATCAGTCACAAAGTGTAGGCTGCAATAAACATTATGTAACTGTTTCCAGGAGGCAGAACCTTCCATGGCTATACTACGGTGATCAGCCAGGTTTAGCATCACAGATTCTGGACACAACACAGTTTCCTACTAGATTCACTTTTAAAGGAACAAACAAGGTAGGTTTCCAAACTTATTCTTTGTGTGATTCCTATAAAAATTAAACTCCACAGAAGAGATGTTTTGGTATTTTGATTTATTGCTTGCCCTGGAAGGAATGTAATTTGCAACACAAAGAGTCTTAGGTATCCATGATGAAAGTAAATACATAGGAAACTCTGCTGCAGAGTCATATTTCAAGTCCTTGCAATGTCACTTAAGCAGGGATCTAATGTTAATGTTTTCATCCTCAGTGGTCTGAAGGGGACAGTCAGTCCCCATTGCAGTACACCAGTGCAGGCCATTTTTTGAGTTTCAGGCCATCCTTTGAATTTCTTCGACAATCTTCTTGGCTAAATACTGAAAATAATACAGTACTTCTAAAATTTCAGTCACTGCTTCTCACTGAAATTATGAAAAAGTCAGTGTTCAGATAATATTACCCTTTGTCTATAGGGTAGTGTAGCGGAACCCCACATCAGACCTGTCCATCAGTGGAAGATCAAGAGGAGGAGCCAATGAGAGGACAGGAGGGGAGACAGTGAGACAGTTAGAGAGACAGTTAGACATTTAGGAGACAGTTGGGGATGTGGAATAGCAGTTAGGGTTAGGAGTGTCACGTTCCCGGGGGTTACAACAGCCGAAGTCTGATAAACCAGTCCAAAGTCAGGAATACTAAGAATGCAAAGCCGATATCCAATTACCAAACCAACTCACAGAACATAGTCCAAGGGCAGAGTCCAGAGGCAAACACACAACGTAGTCCAAGGTCAAAGTCCAGAGTCAGGAGTTCAGGAAAACACAGTTCAAGGTTGAAGGAGCGTGGATGCAAACCAGAGGTTTTGACTTGTTGCTTCCACGAAATTCTAGCTGACTAGGAGCTGTTTTTATAGTAAAACAGCCCCTTGAGCTGCTGGAAACCTTTCCATCCTGTCAGTACTCAGGGCTAGTTGAACGGATGTTTCTGTGGACAGCCTTCGAGCGATCTTCTGACCTTTTTGCCATAAGTCTTCCCCGAAGCCTGGCCTGAAGCTTGTCTGCTGGGGAAGGAGAATCTGGAGGCGATTCAGGTGTTTCTAATTGCAGCATTCTCCTCAGCCTCAGTTAACCCTTCTGGTTCCAGGTCTTCAGCTGCACTCATGACAAGGAGAGAGGAGAGTTAGGGAATTGAACTGAGAGAGTTAGGAGAGTGATTTGAGAAAGTTAAAATACATTGAACAAGTGGGAATGAAATTATAAGTACAATAAGATAGATATTGATTAAAAGTATATAGTAGTCCGGAATAACTGTACTTACAACGCAATACGTAATCAAATCCTTGTTAATATCTGATATAGTTCATATGTGATTTATCTTTGAAAGTCTGCATTCAATTTTCTGTAACTTTCCCTATCTCCCTTGCATTTTGTTTCCCTTCTCTGCTATTTGTAATGCCTCGTTGGACAGCCACTTTGCTTTCTTGCATTTCCTTTTCTTTGGGATGGTTGTTGTTGCTGCCTCCTGTACAATGTTACGAGCCTCTATCCAAAGTTCCTCAGGCACTCTGTCCACTAAATTTAGTTCCTTAAATCTGTTCTTCACTTCCACTGTGTATTCATAAGAGATTTGGTTTAGATTATACCTGACTAGCCCAGTGGTTTTTCCTACTCTCTTCAGTTTAAGCTTGAATTTTGCTATGAGAAGCTGATGATCAGATCCACAATCAGCTTCAGGTTTTGGTTTTTGCTGACTGTATAGAGCTTCTCCATCTTTGGCTGCAGAGAATATAGTCAATCTGATTTTGCTATTGCCCATCTGGTGATTTCCATGTGTAGAGTTGCCTCTTGCATTGTTGGAAAAGTGTATGTGATGACCAGCTTGTTTTCTTGACAAAACTCTATTAGCCTTTGCCCTGCCTTGTTTTGAACTCCAAGGCCAAACTTATCTGTTGTTCCTTTTATCTCTTAACTCCCTACTTTAGCATTCCAATCCCCTATAATGAGAAGAACATCTTTCTTTAGGTGTTGTAAGTCTTCATAAAATTGGTCAATTTCAGTCTCCTGAGATTCATATACTATACATATGCTTAAAGTGTAGTACTTCAGTTTCTACAGGTACTTTATTTTTTGTTCACAGAACATAAAATTGCAGTTTATTGCTGCTTCATATGATGCAGGGGGAAATTTTCTTCAATGGCTTGATTTAGAAGGTGGTATTTTACAGGTAAGATATGTGTATGGTATTATAAATATGCAAAGTGAATGTGATGTACTACAGTGAAGCCAATGAGAAACAAAATAATCACTTGCACAGTAAGGCTTCTCTTCCCCCAGTCAGGGGAAAGAAATCCCCTACTCTTGTTCTACTCTACTCTACATGGGGCTGCCTTTGAGGCTGCTGCGGAAACTACAGGTGGTGCAGAATGCGGCGGCCAGACTTCTTAGTGGTGTGAAAAAATACCAACCCATTTCACCCACTCTGGCCACATTGCATTGGCTGCCCATCCGCTTCCGCATCGACTTTAAAGTGTTGATGCTTACATATAAAGCCCTAAACGGTTTAGGACCTCGATACTTGGCGGAACGCCTACTCCCACCAAGATCTACCCGTGTCACCCGCGTGAGCCAGGAGGTGAGGCTGAGGAGCCTGACGCTGAGGGAGGCCCGGAAGGAAAAGACAAGAAATCGGGCCTTCTCGGCGGTGCCTCCTCGCCTCTGGAATAACCTACCTCCTGATATTCGCGCGGCTTCCTCGCTGGGCATTTTTAAAAATCAACTAAAAACATGGATGTTTCAGCAGGCCTTCCCCTTAGTCAATTCCTGATCTTCCCTCTCTCTCCACTCCCTACTGTCTGTCCCATCTTGCTGAAAGTTTTCCCTTATGTAAAATTGCTTTTAATTACATTGTTGTTGTTTTTGTTGTTGTAAGCCGCCTAGAGTGGTCTTAATTGATTAGATAGGCAGGATATAAATAAAATAAAATAAATAAATAAAATAAATATTGATAGAAGCATTTTTGTCAACATAAAAATTGTCTTGTATTTCATACATTGTTTCTTACTTTATAAATTGTGACTTCAGAAAGCTATAGCTGCTTTTAAAGATTGCATTGGACAATGCAAAATATTATTCACTTTTCTATGTTTTAAAATAATGCAGCTTTGCCCAGACACACCAATCAGACTGAATGCTGCCTACATCTTTGGGACAACATACCAACAAAAAGTAAGCATTATCTAAAATAAAGTGTTAAATGTTTCCATTAAATACATTTCAGATACTATTGGATTAAGGAAAATAAAGCAATATTTAAATAATGTAGAAAAAACATTTATGTGCAGTGGTGCCTTGACTTACAAATGCCCCTACCTACGAACATTTCGACTTACGATCAGCTCCAGTCGCAAAATTTTGCTTCATCTCGCGAACAAAGCTTCGACTTACAAACAGAAAAAAAAAACCGGGGAAGGCAGGGAAACCGGGAAATGTGAACTTTCAGTTAACCATTGGTCAGCGGTTAATTATTTTCCATGTTCTTTTATTGACTAGGTGGAGTGAGATTATTGTAATCTCTCACTATGGATGCAATAACTATAGGCAGTGAAACTTTTGAAACAATGCATAATGTGTTGAAACAATGCATAATGTGTTGAGTTATAACACCGAGGGACATTGTGGAACATTCTGTAATGCCAAATATGAGTGTCATTTATTTATTTATTTATTTATTTATTTATTTATTTATTTATTTATTTATTTATTTAGGAAAAAATCATACATAAGAAGCAAAGTAATTCATTTATGTTATGTCACAATTGTAAGTCTCTGAGCATTTTTGAATGTATGGTTTAGAACATGATTTGTCAAGATTTCACAGGTAGTGGTAAACTGAATGGGTTGCAATGAAAATGCTCAGCATAAGATGCTTCTAACTGTTGGGAAGAGATCATAGTAGATAACCCGGCTGTGCAACAGGTATGCAGAAGGCAAATTCTTCAGTTAGGTTCATTAGGAAAGGGAGAAAAAAGAAAACTCATTGTCATAATGTCATGTAAATCCATTCTGCACTCACATTTGGAATACTGTATTCAGTTTTCTTTCCCACATATCAAAAATTATATTGTAAAGCTGAGAAACTTACATAATAGCTCAATCAAAATACCGTTTTTTTGGCTCCATAAGACACACCTGACCTTAAGACGCACCTAATTTTTAGAGGGGGAACACGGAAAATATATTCTGAACCAAATAGTGTAATAAAATATTTAATAAACTGTAACAGAATAACATTTGATCCATGTAAAGTGAACAGCAGTCAACAGTGGCATTAA